AGCATTGCATGCTTTTCATTGTTGCCTTGTCGAACGACCAAGGTTAGCCGGTCGACTATCACTTTTCCTTATTCTATTTCTCCGATGTTTCTTATCGACCCCTATTAGGTGCCTAATCTCAAGTTTCGAACCAAAATGGCTAAGACGACCGCTTCCATGACGCTGTTGCGAGTTTCTAGTCCGCTTTGCAGAAAGCGATCAAAATCGCAGCTCGCAATTAATGAGGGTTGAATTTCTCTTCGCAAAAACTTTCGAATAAAAGATCGCAATCCATGTTTCAGTCTCAACCAAGAACGCTGCGTAGATTTGTCTAGTGATCATTTGCACTGAACGGATTTTCTTGCTGTAGCAATCAATAGGTTTGATCAGTCAGTACGTGATCAGCACAAAACTTCCAGCAATCAGTTAAGATGCGTTGTTGAGTTGTTTTCGAGCAACTGTTGTATGGTTCTAAATCAACGTATTTTCACAGTATCATAAGAATGCACTTTTATTTTCCATTCTTTTTCGAAAGAAAGACAATATTCGAACAACAATCACGAAAGCGAGCATCCTTTAGATTGTTCTGAATTTAGTTGCGATTGGATAAAGAATAAATTCAGTTGCGATGAGTGAAGATGAGTTTCGATGCTAACGAAAATTTTACGATACCCCAATGGCAATTAACATAATCATATTAAAGACGTCATCAAAAAAGTTTCGAGCCGCTGTTGCACAGCAAAATAAACTGATCTAGTGATCTGTATCATCATGGCATAGATGCTTCCAGAGTTTCAAAACAGCAACGCTCCTTGCTCAATAGATCAAACTCCACAGAACCAAGCGAAAAATTCTCGAGCTCATTAATCTTTTGTTTGCATCAAATCGATTTTGAGAATCATCAATTCATTGGAATCCAACAAATCCAACTGCAATATTGATCGCAGACGCAATTCATAATGCATTCTCACTTTTGGATCAAGATTGCAGAGCGTATCGCTGGAACAGACAAATCGGATGGTTTTTCAGTTATTTAGTGAGATATATGATGCGGCTGGCGATTTTGGTTCAATGTTTTTGCCTATAATGCAAAACTGCACATAAGCAATGAATGCACTCAAATCCTTCGAGGCAACTGTTGAAAACAAATCCGAATTGATTTCCAGTGAATCGATCAAAAAAAAGCCCAGCAACAGTTCATTGAAGATGTAGATGTCTATTGGTTGAGAGTGCTTTTTTCAATGATCTTCTACCTGTCAGCTTCAAAAACACAAACTTCAACTTACATTGAACCAATGTCGATAAAAAAGAATTATCGTCGAGCATTCGTCCGATCGTATAAAAGGGTTGATTGGGCAGTCATAGCTCATTGTTCAGGCACTACTGATTCCATCTACTGATTGCATTACAGAGCCAGTGATTTGCTTTCATTTCGGCTACAGTCTTCTCGGTATATGTGCTCGAGATTGTTGCGCTGTTATGCTTAACCAAGACCATATTTCATACTGATATCTTCATCAATTTATTCATTGAAGTTGAGTATTCCAATTAAGTTATTTTAATTCATTAAAAACTAAATCCATTCGAAATTTCAATTGTCATATAATGTCGGATAACGTATTTGATGATAACTTGCCATTGCTGTGCATCACTGTAGACGCTGATTGATATCTCAGTCGTCGTACTGTAAGCATATCGCTGGTTTTGAACAAAACGTAACTTGTCATGCCGATTGCAGAGTAAGATGGCAGCAAGACTCTTGTGTAACAACCTTACTACGAGCGCCCTTAAGCTCTCAACAAGGTCCGCGAGCAATTTCACGGTTCGTACTCTATCAACTCTCCGGATTTGCCTGAATCTTGAACATTTTTGTTCAACTCTAACTGATACTTCCGTTAGAAGCGACTAAGACGGAACTTTCAGTAACAATAACGAATAAAATTGTGATCATTTGTCATAATCTCGTATCATTTAATCATTCGATTGCTTCTGTTGATTAAAAAACGTTCGACTAGATTCCAATCGTTAATCTAATGAAAATCATAGGAGAATAGCCTTTGTGTCAGATCAATGATAAAAACAAGGAAACAAACCGGATAATACAATGCATTTCACTGATTTTATTGTGTCTGAATCGAGCTACTTCATAGAAAATTCTCAAAGCTAATAAATCACAATTTGAGATCGGTTATCTCTGGAGAGGTATTCCAAAAGAATTTCAGGATGTCGTATTCGTTGGTGCGAAGCGAACTCCCGTCGGATCATTCCACTCAAAGCTGGCTCCTGTGCCATGCACAGAACTCGGATCTGCGGCCATCAAGGGTGCATGCGAACATGCCAACATCAAGCCATCACAAGTTCAAGAAGTCAGTTGTTTTTTCCCTCAGAATTCTGAAAAAGTGTCTCATTGCAGCGACAGATTAGTGACCGAAAGCGAGAACCTTGCTGCTGTTGCGAATTTTGCATTATTTCAAAAAGCTTTTGAACTGTATCACAAAATTATGGTGTTCTTTGCATGCACAAAAACGTTAGTGGATTCATTTCCGTTAGTGGATCACATTTTTGAGAGTGATTCTCAAGAGAATCTGACGATCTCATGCATTAACGAACGGACATTTATCTCGTTTCAGCTTTTCTTCGGCTGTGTCGTACCATCAGATGTAGGCCAAGGACCAGCCCGTCAGGCTGCTCTCGGAGCAGGTCAGGCACATTTTTTCCAGTTGTGTCCCCGAACACATACTAAACTTTCCAAAGAATTCCAAGTTCATATCATGAAATTTTGCGAGCAGAATAACACTGATCGTTGACATATGTTGGAAAATAACCATACAATTCTTTCTTAAAAGACATCGTCTTAAACTGGCACAACATTACACAGTCTCATTCAATCATAAGGGTTTCCTCTACTAAACAGGCACTTAATTTCAGGAGTTGACTTCTCATGTGCGGTCACAACCGTTAACAAGTTGTGCGCTTCTGGAATGAAGGCGATGGCGTGTGCGGCTTCAATTCTGCAACTTGGCCTTCAAGAGGTTTCTCANCATAAAACCAGATTCTTGATCATTCAACATTCTCAGATTTGAATGGTGACAGACACTATTCAAAACACTATTAGGCACATAACCCAACGATGGGCAACTGGGCAAGTCATGATCAGATTAAGATTAAGTTGTGCCAAATTGTAGATCGCCGTTGGTGGTGGTATGGAGAGCATGAGCCGATGCCCATTCTACATTCCTCGTGGTGAACCTCCATATGGTGGATTCTTTGCCAAGGTGAGTTTTCATATCCAATTCAACATGGTCGATTCCGTTTCAGCATTTACTGCATTCACATTCACAATTTGAATTCAATCATTCCAATGAAATTCCTATACTTTCTTTCACTCATTTTGAAGCAACACTGTTGGCGTTTGTTAGCATCAACCCCATTCCGTTGTTCATTTCTGGAAACATGCAGAAATCCTTAAAACTAGATTGAAACATCTATCAACCACCTATTGGAATAATAATGATGAAATTGTCTAAAATTTTCCACCGAAATTTTTGAAATTTTTTTGAATAAATTTTAAAATTTCCTTTAGGATGCCCTGGTTCGTGATGGTTTGGCGGACGGTTTCACTGGCAAATTGATGGGTTTGTGCGCGGATATTGTTGCTGAGGAGCAGGGTATTACTCGTGAAATGCAAGACAAATTTGCCATCGAAAGTTACAAGAAGTCAGCTGCAGCTTGGGAGGTGCGATTTCATTCCTTGCTAGGTGGATGTACCCGATTATGTTAGGTGATCTTAAGATACAAGACTGATCTGAGCAGACACAAGCTCTAGCGAGGAACGGTTGCATTTATAATGCTTTACCGGAAGCACTGTCATTTTTGTCGAACCAATTTCGAGGTGACGAAATGGGAGTTAGCATCATAATTTGGTGACACCACTGCAACTACAAGTCCTATCCAATAAATTTTCCGTTCTAGAATGGTCACATGCAAGCTGAGATTGTTCCAATCGAGGTCACTGCTGGCAAGAAGAAGTACATCGTTGATCGTGATGAGGAGTACACTCGAGTCGACTATGACAGATTACCCAAACTGAGACCAGCTTTCAGGAAGGGTTCGCCTTTCCACTTCATTTCATCCACTTTTTCTATTCCCAAATCACGCCAATCACTGGAATTCATCGACGCCTTGGACTGGGATCTGTTGCGCTCTACACTTTCAGATTACGCTATAGAATGAATCGTTTCAGAAGGTACGGTAACGGCCGGTAACGCATCGACGATCAACGACGGTGCGGCCGCATGCGTTCTGACCACTGTTGAGGGAGCCAAGAAATACGGACTGAAGCCATTGGCACGAATGCGCGCATACGGTGATGCTGCCACCCATCCGGAGAAGTTCGCTGTGGCACCATCGATGGTCATTCCTAAGGTGTGCCATAATGGTTTCATTTCAGCAGTCAGTCACATTCACAAATGCCGGTGATCCCCACACACACCAAAAAAAAAACATCTCAAATTCGAACTGATCAAACTTTGTTCTAACTCAAAACCGGATTGAGGAGCTTCACTGAAATATACTGAAATCGTCGATTCAGGTGCTGAAATTGGCCGGCATGGACGTGAAAGACGTTGATGTTTGGGAGATCAATGAGGCGTTCGCAGTTGTGCCACTGCACTCAATGAAGACATTGAATATTGACCCGTCCAAGGTTAACATCCACGGTGGCGGTTGCTCAATTGGACATCCTATTGGGTTCGTTTTGCTTCTCATTTATTCCGGGAAACTTGTTTAGAAGACCTGCTGTTGTGTCTTTCGGCGAAGATACAAGCCACAAATGAAGTTTTTGGAACTCTAATTGTAAGAATATAATTTCAGTATGTCTGGTTGCCGTATTATTGTTCACTTGATCCACGCCATGAAACCAGGACAAATCGGATGTGCCGCAATCTGCAACGGTGGTGGTGGTGCCGGTGGTATGATCATCGAGAAATTGTAAACTCGCTCTCAAAACCATTCGATAGATTGTTATTATTGTGATCTGAACATTCTCAACCGGAACTCTGCAAAAAAAAGTATACGAATAAAAGCTGAAATGTTGCTGTGATTGATTGATTTGCACACACTGAATTTAGCTGATCAATTGTGGAAAATTTCGCAGACTATTGAATTTCAGTGATTCCAAAAGTTTTCAAGATTCCAATTTCAGCATGCATTCGTTTAGTATTTTGCAGTGTTTTGAGTGAGAAAGCCGCAACTCCAGTTAAATGTTTTGTAATTACACGAATAAAATCGTTTACGTTCGTTTGCTTGCTTGAACAGTCAACTGAACAACTACATTATTGCCGAACATACCAAATATATTCAATATTCTCAGTCAATCGTCTGAGGGCACTACATAATATTATGCCATGTACACACGCTGCTATAATATAAATGTGCATTCACTAGCACAAAAGCATACATAATCCTCTTTCGAACGAGCGCCGTCACTTTCATAACACTATTGAAATAATACATGCATAATGCACTATTGAATGAATCGTATTATTCAGGGGCAAACGACCAAGATTTCGGTATAAGAATGTATCCGAGAAGGTTCTTTAGATCCAAGAGGATTTCAAAAACAATACGAATTACATTCTGCTTACAATTAGTGATTATTTCTTGGTACGCATCAAAATGAAATGTTTTCAATTGAATACATTGGTAGATCGACGAATTCCATGGACATTTCACCAGTT